AGTCTAAGCCGGCTTGCTGTTAAGATCAGTCTCTTAAATTAAAAGTGAGAAGCAAAGTGAAATGCATATATAACGAACACTGTAAATATTTTCCAATAAATTTTTTAATAAACTTGTACGCCGTATATGCGCATGTATGCGACCGATTATTTATTACTTATTTGTCACAACCAACAACACTAAAGCAATGTATTGTAATATATCGCAAACAGGACATTAATCTAAGGAAGTGATTATTGTCTGTTGGCACGAGGGCAATAAAAAAACGGCAAATAAAACATTGCATTGTTTGCTATACTGGTGCTGGTAGTACATATAGCGCAGCGTTAGATACCAGCAATATATACAATTATATACTATAAATATACAATTCTATATATATATATATATATATATATACTTTGTCCTGGTAATGTTGGGTTTGAAATACTGCAGTCATGACAGCGGCAGGCAATAGTAACAAGACTTTACCTTAAGAGTAACAGCAATAGCAGGAGCAACAATAACAATCGTTGTCTAGATAGACAGATACAAGCGCAAATGAACGAACGCTTGCACGTATATATCAAGTGCACATATCAGTATACTAACACGTTCAAATAAAACACTAACAATAAGGTACAAAAATAATGCCGCCAGGAATGTAAATGAATAGAAAAAGAAATTCATTTCAGACAAATAAAATGATGACGATGACGATGACAACGACGACGACTATGTATACGGCGACGTGAATGATAATAACATCAAACACGATGAAAATGATGCTGCTTGGTGTGGCATTAGTCTTGACTTTAATGTTGCAGTTGCAGTTGCAGTCTTAAATGGTGTAAAACGATATACAAGTGTGTGGCTAAGCTATAAATATCTGTACAAAAAAACAAAAAAAAAAAAAAAAGTAAGAAACAAAAGCAACAAAAGCATAGAGAGCGAAAGAAAGTTAGGTACGGAACCCTTCGGATGTATGTAGTTGCATAAAATGGCATTTGTTTTTCTTGAAAGAATGCTGTTCGTAAGATTTATTAAGAAAAACCTTTTTTTCTACTCGGTTTACTTAAGAATCTTAATGAACAACTTAGGCTGGATTTATTACCTAGTTTGTAAAAGGGTTAAATAAATAATGAAAAGATGGGAAAAATAAGTATCGTCCAAAATGATTTAAAGTGTTTCAAGTTCCCTATGTTCGAATGCTATCGTTTTGTTCTCGTTGCATTATTGAGCAGCTAGAAATTCCTGCAGTATTTCACTTTCGCTATAAGTCCCAGCGAAAGTGATCTGAATCGTTCGTTATCATTATCGTGCCTCGCGCTATCCCGGGAGCAGAAGACATGCGTTAGAGCAAAAAGCCGAACCAATTTCAAAAAACAAAACACTACAATAGGCCACGGTCCCCCATTGAATAACGTACACGATTCTACTCTTATATATAACGACTCTTTAAAATAAGGTTAACCCGGAAAGCGATCCAAAAGTAGTCCGATCCGAACCATTTTCAATAGCGTTCATCCGTTGCTCAACTCAAAAAATTTGCGGCCAGAAATGCGAGTCGGC